ACCTACTGCCCCGTCAGCTTCATAGGATGCCCTCGAGTTCTAGAATTTTGGTGGAGGGAGATAAATTTCTCTATGCCAACTCTCTCCATCCCATGGTATACCATGCATAATTTTATCAACCTCTCTCATGTCCCCCCTTCGTCGTCCCTCTTCTAAACTGAAAAGTCCCAGACTCTTCAGCCTTTCCTCCTGGGAAAGGTGCTCCAACCTGTTAATCATCTCAGATGCCCTCCCCTGTACCTTGTCCAGCTCTGCAATGTCCTTTTGGAGATAGGGTGACCAGAACTGTATGCAGTATTCCAAATCGGCCACACCATAGGTCTATACCGGGGCACCACCCCAGAGACAATGCACTATGAATGCCATCAAATGCCTATGAGATGAGTCTACTATTAAGGAACTGGTACAATTCTACTGAAAGATTGACTTTGGACTGTATACTTCCTACCTGCTTAATATAGGCTGCGGTCACACACACTAAATAATCCACTTTCAATCCACTTTCCAACTGGATTTTGACAGTTCACACAGTAAAATCCAGTTGGACAGTGTACAAAAAGTGGATTATTTAGTGTGTGTGACCACAGCTATAGTGTATCAGTTTGGTGTAGTGGTTAAGTGCGCGGACTCTAATCTGGGAGAACCGGGTTTGATTCCCCACTCCTCCACTTGCACTTGGCTGGATGACCTTGGGCAAGCCATAGTTCTGATAAGAGCTGTCCTTGAAAAAGAGCAGTTTCTGTCAGAGCTCTTTCAGCACAACCTACCTCCCAGGGTGTCTGTTGTGCAGAGGGGAAGGGAAAGGAGTTCGTAAGCCGCTCTGAGATTCCCTTGGGTAGTGAAGGGTGAGATATAAATCCAATCTCCTCCTCCTCTTCTTCTTCTACCTTGAACTGGTGCCTTGGTGGATTTAAAAGCACGGGCGTTAGTCCATTTTAATAGTGTGAAAGATATGGGTTTGAATTACAACTCGTGTGTGTGTTTGTCTGGAGAGAGAGGGTAGACAGAAACACTCACACTTAGATACTTTTTCTGGCATTGGACAGGGGTACTTACGAAGGCCACTGATCTGCTCAGGAAGCACATTCATTTGAGAGCATCATGTGTTCTTCACTAGCAAGTCAGTCGGCCTGCACAGGGAATTTAACACTTTCTCTGCTGCCCATTTTTTGCTTCAGTCCCAAAGTCATGCCCAAAGTCAGTCCCAAAGTCATGCCCAAGTCATGCCTTAGGCTTCGGGATGTCTATTTATATACTCCAACAGGTGAATGCTCAGATTTTCTCTTGCATTTGTAGGTTCCCAAAATATGGATTTTTGTAGAGCATGTACAAGGTAGCATAAGAATGGGAGGAGGCTTTGGAAGTTTTCTCGATGGTAGAACAGTGCAAGTGATAGAAGTGCTCTGACTTTGGGGAGATTTGGTTAATATAGCAGAGTTTGCTACATTATAGCAGGGCCCCCCACAAAGAAGCGTGATACTGAGTGCAGTAAGTAAATCTCCCCAAAAGTATATTGCAAAAAAAAGAAAAGAAAAGGTAAAGTTACATTTATTCAAGTAGATCCAGTTCACATTCGGGCTGCAGTCAGAATAAGAGGGAGAAGCCTAATCTAAAGAGAATTTTCTCTGTCACTAACAGCCAACTTGTCCGGCATCACGTGTGTGGGAGAAGGAGGGCATTGTCTCTACAGGAGAGACCGGCAGAGATTATGTCTTTCCACAGAAGGCCATGTAAAGGGAGGGAGAGGACAAATTATGTCTTTCCATGGAAGGCCATGTAAAGGGAGGGAGAGGACAAATTATGTCTTTCCATGGAAGGCCATGTAAAGAGAGGGAGAGGACAAATTATGTCTTTCCATGGAAGGCCATGTAAAGAGAGGGAGAGGACAAATTATGTCTTTCCATGGAAGGCCATGTAAAGAGAGGGAGAGGACAAATTATGTCTTTCCATGGAAGGCCATGTAAAGAGAGGGAGAGGACAAAAAGAGAGGAGAGGGCAGAGGGCAGCTCCCAGGCTAAGAAAAAGAAAGGCATCCCATACAAGGAGATAACACCTATACACACTTAGAGTGATGTAGCAAACCCCCACACACACACACACCAGTGCCAAGGCATGATGAGTGGCTCACTCCCACACTTACTTTCCTGATTGATGAACACAGCAAAAAAAAAGATTCAGTTTGCAGCAGAAGCCGAATTTATGCTTCTGCCACTGATGTTGCCAGTCTGAAGGATGAAGGGTATCTCAGACAGAGAAATCAGAAGGCGGGAAAGACAGTGTGCACGTTCCTTCTTGGAAACACAATCTTCCTCCTCCTGCTCAGCAGATCTGATGTGTACTTTGCTGTAACCAGAGAAGGCACCCCCGATGGCACGGCCAGCTTCTGTTGATACCTTTGAGCCCTCTGAGCAGTGTGATAACCAGGGTGGAGGATAGCTCGGCTGGGTTCCCTCTCTAGAGATTCTGCAGACAGTCCTGAGACACCACCTCAAGGGCTTAACCAATGAGCCCCTGTTTACAGCGTCCCCTCCTTAGGAAATAAATATTGTCCATGGAGATGCTGCACAGGATTCCACGTGGAATCTGCCCCAACCAGAGAGAAGGTGGACTGGTATAGTGAGACCCAGTTTGGTGTAGTGGTTAAGTGCCCGGACTCTAATCTGGGAGAACCGGGTTTGATTCTCCACTCCTCCACTCGCAGCTGCTGGATGACCTTGGGCAAGCCCTAGTTCTGTCAGAGGTGTTCTCTCAAGGCAGTTTCTGTCAGACCCCTCTCGGCCAGTTTGGTGTAGTGGTTAAGTGTGCGGACTCTAATCTGGGAGAACCGGGTTTGATTCCCCACTCCTCCACTTGCACCTGGCTGGATGACCTTGGGCAAGCCATAACTCTGGCACAGCTGTCCTTGAAAAAGAGCAGTTTCTGTCAAGAGCTCTCTCAGCCCCACCTACCTCACAGGGTGTCTGTTGTGGGGAGGGGAAGGGAAAGGAGTTTGTAAGCCGCTCTGAGACACCTTTGGGTAGTGAAGGGCAGGGTATAAATTCAATCTCTTCTTCTTCTTCTTCTTCTTCTTCTTCTTCTTCTTCTTCTTCTTCTTCTTCACCTACCTCACAGAGTGTCTGTTGTGGGGAGGGGAAGGGAAAGGAGTTTGTAAGACACTCTGAGACTCCGAGTGAAGGGCGGGGTATAAATCCAATCTCCTCCTCCTTCTTCTTCTTGAGTTCCTACCCATTTTTGCAGTTGAGGAGAACTTCTGTTAAACTTAAGTTTTCAAAAACAACAAATCCAGTTAGGTACATACCCCTGGAATAAAATTTAGTGGTCACATATCAGTAATCCCAGAAGATAGCTGAATTAAAGTTCCTGTGTGACCTCGTCCACCTGCAAGTCATCGTCTTTCAGACTTCTTTACACAGAGAATGATTAAAACAGGGCGGTAGCCGGGGAGGGGCGGCACAGCAGGCAGCGCCCCCTATCACATCAGGGGTGCTCCTATTGATGTGCCCCCCTACAGAGCCATAGCCAGCAGAGGGGCACAGCAGGGCCCCCACAAAGAAGAAAAGCGGTGTACCCCATGCTGGGCCAGAGAGCCGACCTTTTGCGGCAGGTGCAGTGGAGGAGAGAGAAAGGAGAGAGGAGCTCCTTACTCCCAGCCTGCTGGCAGGCAGTCACCACTCTTAGACAGGAAGGGGTCTGCCATGGCCAGAGGAGTGGCTGAGGTCAGTCAAGAAGCGCCAGGCTGCTGCCACCACTGGCTGGCTGGAGAATCCCCCTCTGAGGCAAGGCAAGGTGGGCGGGGCGGGAGTCAGTGAGCCACTAAAGCCTTCTCTCTCTCTCTCTCTCTCTCTCTCTCTCTCTCTCTCTCTCTCTGGTCCTACAGCAGGAAGACCCAGCATCTCCGCCCTTCTCCCTCCTCCGCTCTTTTTCTTCTCCCTCCTCAGCTGCCTTAATTTAATTTAATTAGCTCCATTAGCGCCCCCCCCCATCCTGCTATGGGCCTGGATTAAAATGTGGAATTTGCTGCCAGAGGACGTAGTGATGGCCACAGGCTTTAGAAGGGGATTAGATAGACTCATGGAGGATAAGTCTACCAGTGACCACTAGCCATGGTGGCTGAGGGAAACCTCCACATTCAGAGACACTAAACCTCTGGATCCCAGAACCAGGAGGTAACATCAGGGGAAGGCTTCAGCCTCTCTGCCCTGTTGCTGGTCCTCCAGAGGAACTGGTGGGCCACTCTATGAGGCAGGATACTGGACTAGGTGGTCCATTGGTCTCATCCAGCAGGGCTCTTCTGATGTTCTTATCAGGGGAAGGCCCCAGCCTCTCTGCCCTGTTGTTGGCTCTCCAGAGGAACTGGTTGGCCACTCTGTGAGGCAGGATACTGGACTGGACAGATCACTGGTCTGATCCAGCAGAGCTCTTCTTATGTTCTTATTGTTAATATGGCTAGCATAAAATTAAAAATGAAGATATATTTGGCCAGGTTGCATTTTCCTCATATATATAAAGTTTATTTTAAAGAAATAACTGACTCAGCCCTCAGTATTATTCCAATAAGGTAGGACGGGTGCTATCATTTGGGTTATTCATGTGGAAAATGTTGATTAAAAATGTAAGTCTTAAAAGAAATGGTTATTTCTGATATTAGCAAACATGGGTCTGTATGTTTTCGTGCAGCCTGGGGACTCATTTTTTGTTTAAGAAGTAAGGATATTTTCATTTGATAGTAAAATTAAATTGGTTCATTTTTTTCATGTTAGAAAGCAACGGATGGGGGGGGGGAGATTAAAGAAAGGTAAACCACGCTGCATTTTGAAAGTATTTTTTTTTCCAATGAAAAAAAAATGGGTCATTACTGGTGATATGGGTTAAGCAGGAGGGTAATTCAATAAAATGAAGAGGGGAAACTCCTCAGATATATATGGGAGAGTTTCTGTATCTCAGGTGATACCCAGTGACATACCTCCCAGAAAACAAAAAATCTTTCAGCCCTTTCAAGATTAACGAAAATGCTTCCTAATGACTCTCTTCATGGCTGCTTTCATCTCATTGTTCCTGAGGCTGTAGATGAAGGGATTCACCATGGGATTGACCATGGTATACATCATAGCCGCCCAGGTGTCATGGCGTTCCGCCAAATTAGAATTTGGCTTGAAATAAACAAAGCTGATACCCCCAAAGTACATGACCACCACACAGATGTGGGACCCGCATGTGGAGAAGGCCTTGCGCTTCCCAGTGGCAGATGGAATCTTCACGATGGAGTAGAAGATGAGTGCGTAGGAAATGATAATGAGCACAAACGGCCCCAGGATCTCTACTATCCCCTCAGTCATCAATACTAGATCTATCAGGTAGGAGTCAGAGCAAGAGACATCCAGAACAGGATAAAGGTCACAGAAAAAATGAGGGATTTCCCCAGGGTCACAGAACTCAACACGGGACATCAAGAACGTATAAATCAATGAGTGGAACATGGTGATAGTCCAGGACAGAGTTGCCAGTTGGAGGCAACGTTTGTGACTCATCACAATGGAATAGTTCAGCGGGCTGCAGATGGCCACGTAGCGGTCATAGGCCATGGAAGCCAGAAGGTAGCTATCTGCATTGCCGATATGTATGTAGAAAAACATCTGGGCCAGGCAGCCATGGTAGGAGATGGTCTTTCTCTGAGACAACAAGTTCTGTAGCGCCTTGGGGACAATGGTACTGGCAAAACCCAAATCGGCCACTGCGAGGTGACTGAGGAAGAAGTACATGGGGGTTTGGAGAAGGTGCCTATCGCAGCGGATCAACAAGATGATGGTTACATTCCCCAGAATGGTGAGCAAATACATCAAGAGGAAAAGCGGGAAGAGGAGTGTTTCGACCTCTGGCTGGGAGGAGAATCCACGGAGGAAGAATTCGGAGACCAGAGTTGTGTTCTTGTGGTTCATTGGCATGCTGCTGCTGTAAGGGTGAGAGTCAGAAGGAGAGCTCTGGTTGATAAATTCAACCAATGAAGAAAAGTAGAGAGGCCTCCAGCCAAAGTGTGGGCTGATGGATTTCTAGGCACACAGTCCTCCCCCCCATCATCTAGGTCCCAATTTGCATAGTGGAAATCGAGCTGCCTAGCAAACACGTCCATTTGGAAGGGTGCCATTTTAAGCAGAGATGCGATGGGTTATCACAGCGGACTTCACTACTGCTCCAAATCCTCCCCCACGCTCTGACCCAGCATTCTGAATTAAAATTGTCTACCCGTCACACTGCCCTCCTATGCATTCTTGTTTAAAGAAACTTTGCTCTCTTGAAGTATCTGAAGGGCTGCCACTTCGAGGAGGGCAGGGAGCTGTACCTGTTGGAAGCAGAGGAGACGACTCACAATAATGAGTTTAAATTAAGGGCGGGAAGGTACTGGCTGGATATTCGGAAAAACTTTTTTTTTTTTTTTACCATAAGAGTTGTTCAGCAGTGGAACCAGCTGCCTAGGGAGGTGGCGAGCTCCCCCTCGCTGGCAGTCCTGAAGCAGCGGCTGGACAAACACTTGTCGGGGATGCTCTAGGCTGACCCTGCACTGAGCAGGGGGTTGGACTAGATGGCCTGTAGGGCCCCTTCCCAACTCTGGGATTCTACGATTCTGTAAGCAGCCTTTGGGATTTATTACAGCATTTGCATGTCATGTATAATCCATCCAACATGCTTACTGAAGTGATTGGGTATCTGATGGCTGCCTATACTGCAGACTTAAACCAGGTTCACATTGAATTACTGTGAGTAACCAAGGAAACCCAGACTGTGACAGGGCTTGGTAATTCTGAATGTCATGTATGTGTGCTCAGAGAGTCTGGCCCAAACTAGAGAACAGATCTGTAGCCTCCATCAAATCAAAAGCAAATAAGCTACTGGGAGTAATTTTGAGATTTTATCATACTAAAGGGGGCTTTTTAATAGATCCAGCTGTTAAGATAAGTCCTTCTCCAAACAGATGCCAACACTATCCAACAATATGAGAGCTTTGGGGTGGGAAGGAACAAATATTGACCAGCCTGGAGACAGTGCAAAATCTTTTCCTGAGGCGGTTATTGGCGCTGCCCAAGGGTTCGCCTGTGGCGTTAATGAGGGCAGAAACAGGTATTCCATCACTAAGGGTTCGAGCGCACTTAGCGATCGTGAAATCGATGCCAAAATTTCAACAGCTTCCAAACGAAGCATTTAGCAAAGCCAGCTACTTAGATTTACTAAGTAATGATAAAACGTGCATCGAATTTTATAATAACATCATCTCATGGTACTCTGTGCACCTATTATTCTGGTAACCAGTTATTCAGTATCTATACTTGTTTTATATGTGTAAAAACTGTGAATGCTTTATGGAAAATTATAAAACTCAATAAAGTGTTTATTTAAATTCTGGAGGGGGGGGGAATGGTGCCTGACGATTTATCCAGATCTTTTGTAAATACCCAGGACCTGCGCCAATGGATGTTTAATGAGGACGCTCTTTTAGACAAAAGGTTAATACTCCAGTCAAAATCTGCACCATGGTATCATAGAATTTAAAAAGATCACTTAAGAACCTCCTATTTGTCAGACACTGCAGTCCACAGTTTAAGAGCAGCATTTACCGCCCTTCGCTTTCAATCCATGCCCACTGAAGTGCTGCTTGGAAGGTATGCCAGAAAACCACAGGAACAATGTATATGCATTTGTGGTACCCCAGTGGAAGATCTATTCCACTGTATTATGGTTTGCCCTTTATATTCAGACCTAAGAAGCAGGTTTCTATCTGGAATTTTAAGCCAACTTTGCAACTTACCTGACAATGAAAAGTTGGTTTTCCTCTTGTCGGATAGGTATCCCCTGGTTACTCGCACGGTAGCGCTTTTTGCGCTTGCAGCCAGAAAAGTTAGATCCAAGGCTATTTCTTAGAGCTACAAAACTGGTAGCATAGCTTTTATGATTTAAAAACTTTGACTGTTTTATTTGTTCAAATGCTATACAGTCTTATTCTAAAGGCTTTGTTTTTAGAACAGTACTTTTGAACCCTAAATTTATATTTTGTATTTATATTTTATATTGTAACGGCCAACGGCCATATACAATAAACTTACTTACTACCAGGGCTATTTTTGGGCAGGAACGCACAGGAACGGAGTTCCGGCTGGCTCCCAAGTTGACCATGCCCAGCAGGAACTCATTAGCATAATAGGCCACACCCGACAGCAGAAACTCATTCGGATTGGCTACATTAGGGGTGTGTGGCCTAATATGCAAAGGAGTTCCTGCTACAAAAAAAGGCCCTGGGTTTTGACAACAAACAAGGTAAACAGAATAACAAGCAAAAGGTGGGTGTGGCTGGATGACCACACTTCTGGTAACATGTGGGTGCGGCCTAATGTGGTAATGAGCTGTGCTGTCAGGAGTGTGGACTAATATGCTAATGAGTTCCTGCTGTTGGGTGTGGCCTATTATGCTAATGTGTTCCTGCTGGGCTTTTTCTACAAAAAGAGCCCTGCTTACTACTACTTACCTAGACACTAGTAGTGTGTCAGGGCTTGGGAATTCTGAATGTCATGTATGTGTGCTCAGAGAGTCTGACCCAAACTAGAGAACAGATCTGCACCTTTGTGCAGAACTAGTGATTTTGCATTTATATTCTGATGAGCACCTATTGGGTAGTGTCCGTGTCACCATGAGGCGCAGCAACACCAAAGAAGGGGCAAAAACCCAACCCAGAAATGGAATTGGATACCTAAAAGGTTGAGGTTAAAAGCATACGTTAAAAAGATTAAACAAAATGTATCTTTAATAACACTTTAAAAGTTAAATAAAAATGAAACGGGCCTTTAGGCCGAAGAGATCAGACACTGTGCAGGACAGAATACATAGAATGCAGTAAACTCTTAGTAGCACACTTTGCAGTCTGGTCTGAAATCACTGGTTTATTGGTTCCAATCAGTGCTAATGAGCGTATACTGTGTAGTATGTTCTGTGTACTGTAACTGTGTACTCTCGTGTTTCCTCTTCAGCTTCCTTTTTACTATTCCCCTCATTTTTGTAACGTTCCGTCTTTTGGAATCAAATGTGACAGTTTTGGACTTTAAGGGTAACTTTCCATTGACCTGAATGCTGAATTTCATAGCATTGTGGTCACTGTTTCACTGTTCTTAACTGGTGTAACAACCTCTACATCTCTCAACAAGTCTGAGAACCACTCAGAAACAAGTCCAAGATCAGAAGAAGAGGAGGAGGAGAAGGAGGAGGAGGAGATTGGCTGAAGAGTGGCTCACAATCTTCTTTCCCTTCCCCTCCCCACAACAGGTAGATGGGGCTGAGGGAACTGCTCATGAGAGAACAGCTCTGAGATAACTTGTAACTGAACCAAGGTCATCCAGCAGGTGCAAGTGGAGAAGTGGGGAATCAGACCCAGTTCTCCCAGATTAGAGTCCGTGCTCCTAACCACCACACCAAACTGGCTCTCTGGTTGGCTAGACCGTGACCAACAGTTTCAGTGCACAGTCATTTATGAAACAAACAGTCAGGAACTTTAAAGAAAGCTGAAAGGACGGGGGTGGGGGGGAGGCAGATGAAAAGTCAGCAGCAAAAGTTGGAAACCTGAAGACGGCAAGAGGGGCCAAGAAAGGTGGGGAAGCGTCTGACTAGGCAAACACAGAGGAAGCTGGAGAAGAGACCATGGTTGAATCTGCATTTGTCTTTCCCACCAGTGTCCCAGCCTTCTGACACCATCTTTAAAAAAGCTGTCTACATTTGGTGCCATTTTCACACCTCAACTGTGCTAGCATACTTTTGCACATTGGCATATGTTTATTGCCCTTTTGTGGGGGCTCCACTCTCATTGCATCTCTGCACTGCTTTAAAAGAATCTTCTCCAAACAACAATCAAACAAGCATAGAGAAAAACGGCGTCAGAGCAGCACGAAACTGATTTTAAAATGCAAATGCAGATTCGACCACATGTGTGCCAGAGGGGATTACAGGCAGGGAGGCATCAGAGAGATAAGCAGTGGTGGAACTTAGGCCAGCTGAGATGGGCGACAGGGAAGTTGTGCTCACGTGCAGGAAGGTGAGCGGGTTGAATGGGGAGTGCAGCACGGAGTCGCTGGGGCTGGCAACCAGTGTTCCCTCTAAGCTGAGTGTGAGCTAGCTCACAGTTTTTTAGCCTCCGGCTCACACATTTTTGCCTTAGCTCAGGAAGGATGGCTCCAGAGCAAACTAAATGATGCAGTGGCCAAATCGCTCGCTCACAACTTTAATGCCGGTAAATTTTTGCTCGCAAGACTCTACAGCTTAGAGGGAGCATTTCTGGCAACCCTGTCAAATCAGGAGAGAGGGAATGCCACCCCCTGGTGGACCGTCTAGAAGCCACCCATTAGTGGCTTTCTGCTCACTGGAGAGGCTGTGTGAGCAGGGCTGGATCTCCCGCTAGGCCAACTAGGCACTTGCCTAGAGCGGGAGGCCCTGGATGGGGTGGCGGGCCCTGGATGGGGACGCCAAAGTTCGCCTCCCCTGCCAAAATCCAGTGCCAATCCCCAAAGCTCCCCTCCGCATCCCTCCCGCCCGCCCGGACCCTCTCCGGCGACCCATGGTTGGCAGGGAGAGGCGCCAGCAGAGTGGGTGCATGAAGAGGGGAGCCCGCATCGGAGCCATGCTTGCCACCGCCTGCCGGGGGAGCTGGCAGGTAAGGAGTGCTGCCAAGAGGGGGGAAAGGGCCACATGGTCCCAGGTCGTGCCGAGGTGGAGGGCTGTCTGTCTGATTCACACAATCCTCCCCCCTCCCAGTGCACAAACTTGAGGCTGCGCCACCGGCGCCGTGGCACTTTCTTTCTGTTGGCGCCTGAGCCAGCCAGCCAGCCCTCTGCCTCTGCGCACCCCAGGACCGTGCGGCCCTTTACCCCCTCTTGGCAGCGCTCCTTACCTGCCGCTGGAGCTGCCACCACTG